TTCATAAATGCTATCACAGTAATGCTAACCACAGATCAATAGGCTGAGCTACTGCTAACACTAGCCCGAGCTGCTAATGCTAGGCCGGGCTAATGCTAACATTAGCCTGCACTGCTAACATCCTTGATGTACCATGGGTGTTTCTCTATGCCAAGGAACCTTGCCTTGATGTCTTGGCCCCGCCCCGGTTGCCTAGGAGATACATCATCAGGAACCGCCAAGACGTGTTCCAATGTTCATGTTCTACCGAGGCGTGTGTTCTCCATTTGTTAGCCATTTAGCTAGCTGAGTGAGGATACATAGGAAGTGTCTTGTAGCCTAGCCTTGGTCAAAAATTACCCAGAATACACAGCGGTATCATCAAAAGGACGGCGGATCAGAAGCTGACAGCTACTTCTGGTACAATTTTCAAGTTTAAAAGTAAGTCAACTAATTAAAAATGTGTTGTTTTTTTTTTATCCAAAGAAGTTATCTATTGATGGTTAGTTGCTTGGTAGTTGCAGCTTCGGTGGCTAGCGTGTAGCAACTCACTTATATTTTTTATTTAATAAACATAAACTCGTTATATATTTATATTGAAACTAATACGTATAAAATGTGACGTTATCTCCCGTGTCACACGACGTTACATGACCACCGTGGAAGCCACGGTCACGTGATGCAGGTCTGTTCCATTTAACCGTTTTCTTTGACCAACGAAGGACAGTGTCCTTGTAAGCAAGGCACCTGGCCTCGTAAGACATCGTCTCGCAAGGCCAGGTGCCTTGACATTGAGAAACACCTCAGATGTAAAAAAAATAATAATAATAAAAATTAAAAAAAAAAGACGAATGCGGGAGCATATCCAAATTAACATCATCAACTTTATATATATTGGACCTTCCAACTGCCAGAAGGTGAACCAAAGTGCTGTACATGCATTAAAAAACATTGTCGACCCATGCAATGGTGGACAAAAATAGACAGAAAAACAAATAAGAACAGATAAAAGCAGGCTATGAATGAATGCCAGATCGATCCATAGCTTGTGCTCAGTCACTTCATCCCTTGCTCTTAGAGGATCACAGAACAGTTTCAAGTTGTAAATAAACAGTACTCTATGTCCACTTTGATGCTATTTTCCCAAATGTTGGTGCTGAACTGTTCTAACATAATATGATGGACATGGGGGATCTTGCATCAGTAAGAGTAAATTAGAAACACTGAAAATGCATCAATGATCTTCAATGTCTCTGACACCCAAAAAAGTCCCCATAAGTAGAACCGATTTAAAAATTATGCAAATCAGAACTTTTCTGACTTTAATCAAATTTTTGTTCTTCTTACAGAATAGGTCTTTTTTTGGTTCCATCTGACCAAATGACATTCTCCCAATCCTACTCTAGGTCGTCCAGATGGTCCCTGGCAAACTTCAGGTGGGCATGTTCTGGCTAAAGCATGGGGACCTTTCGAACTGCTGCAGGATTTTAATTCATGATGACGTTTTGTGTTACTAATAGTAACTTTAATCACTGTGGTCCCAGCTCTCTTTGGGTGACTGACTAGATAACCTCATGTAGTTCTGAGCTGTTTCCTCACCATTCTCAAGATTATTTGTACCTCACAAGATGAGATCTTGCAAGGAGCCCCAGGTCAAGGGAGATTGTCAGTGATCTTGTATTTATTCCGTTTTCTAATAATTGCTCCAACAGTTGATCAGTTCTCATCAGGCTTGACCATTGTAGACCAGCTCATCCCAGTCATTCTGCTATCCTTTGACAGCTCTCTGGTCTTGGCCATGGTGGAGGTAGATGTAAGACTGTTTGAAAGTGTGGACAAGTGTATTTTATACAGATTACGTGTTCCAACAAGTGCCATTAATACAGGTAACAAGTCGAGGACAGACAAGCTTCTTAAACAAGAAGTAACAAGTTTGTGAGGGCCAGAATGTTTACTTTTTGGTAGGTGCTACTTATTTTCTGCACCATTATACAAATTCTTTAAAAATCATACAATGTGTTTTCGTGTATTTATTAATATTTTTTACATTTTACTATCTAAATGAGTTTTCTCCGTGGGGTGGCTGGGCTCAGCCTTAGGGATAGGGTGAGGTGGTCGGACATTTGGGAGAGACTCGGAGTAGAGCCGCTGCTCCTCTATATCGAGAGGAGTAAGTTGAGGTGGTTTGGGCATCTTGTTAGGATGCATCCTGGATGCCTCCCTGGTGAGGTGTTTCAGGCATGTTCTGCTGGCAGGAGGCCCCCTGGTTGACCCAGGACACGTTGGAGAAAGTACATCTCCGAACTGGCCCAGGAACGCCTTGGGGTCCTACCGGAGGAGCTGGTGGGGGTGGCCGGGGAGAGGACGGTGTGGGACTCCCTAGTTGGGACCCCACGACCCGGACCCGGATAGGCGGAAGAAGATGAGACATTTTACTCTCTCTCACAGCTGAAGTGTACCTACAGTATGATAAAAAATTACAGACTTCACTTTTTATGTGGGTCAACTTGCACAATCAGTGGCTGCCAAATGCTATTTTGCCCCACTACAGCATAGCCTTACACAGTGACCACTGGTGACAGGAATAATTTTGTGAGATATAACCTAGGTCTGGTGTGAGAAAAATGAATTTTCAATCCATGGAAATAAGCACGAGCCCCGTAAGTTAGACCAAAAAAGGGAAAATTCTTTCAGGATTCTGAGACCTTTTTGCTCTTTTATTCATAGTTCTTACAATTACATAAGTGATACTGCAGGCTGCGAAGAAAATACAAGTAACTTTTGCATTAACAGTTTTTGGCAACAGTTTAACCTCCCTGTACATATTCTGATCCCACCCCCTTAAGCATGCCCCCCTTCTTTTCTGTGCTTTGAAGAGCTCCATATCACTCATGTGTGGTCAGGCACAAACCAGAGATGACATGCCCTTCTGGGAAATGTGTTAAAAGGTATGTGAAAACAACTTCCATTACTGGATGAAAGCTGGGAAAGAAAGAAGATAAAGGACTGTGACAGAAAATGAGCAGATAAGGCAGAAGAAGAGCAGAATAAAAAATGAAACACACACACACACACCCACACACACTACTGTGCAAAAGTTTCAGGCAGGTGTGAGCAAAGACTGCTGTAAAAAGAGAGATTATTTTTCACAATTTACAAACTAAAGAGAGTGGCACACAAACATCAAAGTCGGGGATTTACATGCAAATTGATATTTAGTAGAATAAATATCTACTATGTTGCATAGAAGTGCAAGTGATGGTCTGGCCCCCACAGAGCCCTGATCTCAACATCATCGACTGTGTGTGGGATTACATGAAGACACCGAATGATGTGAGGAAGTCTACATCCACACAATTTCTGTGGTTAGATCTCCAGGATGTTTGGAACAACCAGCCCAGTTCCTTCAACAATGTGAGCACGTGCACCTAGAAGAACGGATGCTGTTTTAGAGGCTAAGGATGGTCAATCCGGATATTCACCTGATTTAGATTTCTCTTTCATTCTTTGGCTGCTCCATTTTTGAAAGCATTCTTTATTTACAGCATTTTTTCACACCTGCCTAAAACTTTTGCACAGTACTGTGTCTAATTTATTGAGCATAAACCGAAGCAGTGATTTCATGTTATTTCTCAAAACTAATTGCTGGTTTTGTTTATTTCACCAATTTTTCCTATGGTGTCATTTAGCAGGAGCACCAAGAGGCCACTAATGGTCTGAGTCACCTGTTGGGACGTAACGTTATCATGTCGCTTTCTGAAGCTCAGCCGCTGGTGAGATCATTAGGATCTCCTCTGTCCTGTGGAGCGCTTAAAGGCCTTGTGATTCACCTGTGTTGAGACTTGCTGAGAGAAAAAATGGGAGCTTAACTGTCCACCAAGTCTACATTTTCTTTTTCTTCCTGTGATGTTGAAAGGGGAGCAGAAATCACACACACACACTTCTCTTTAAATGACTGAATTATGAAAGTAACATTAAAATAAAGGAGGAACATCAAAATATTGAGAGAACATGAAAATATCAAGATAAAATGTCAATTTATCCAAGAGAAATATTACAAAATAAAATCAAATGTAGGGGAAATATTTCATATTTGTGTCTAATTATAAATGACATGAATAAAGTAATTTTGAAAAACTTTGTAACAATGCTAAAAATAATGTATTGACTTCATGTAATGTTTTAGGTGTTTCTGTAATTTTTTGGAATTTCATTCTTTTTTTTTTTTGTGGGGAGTCGGAGTTCGAAGCACTGGCATAAAGACCATCTCAGACAGAAAGTAGAACGTTTGTTTTTTGTTTGTTTTGCAGTTCACTCAGTAAAAGCTCATCCAGAACACGTAGTAGTAGTAGTAGTGGTAGTAGTGGTAGTAGTGGTAGTAGTAGTGGTAGTGGTAGTGGTAGTAGTAGTAGTAGTAGTGGTAGTGGTAGTGGTAGTGGTAGTGGTAGTAGTAGTAGTAGTAGTGGTAGTAGAACCCATAGTAGTAGTAGTGGTAGTAGTAGTAGTAGTAGTAGAACCCGTAGTAGTGGTAGTAGTAGTAGTAGAACCCATTGTAGTAGTAGTGGTAGTAGTAGTAGTAGTAGTAGTAGTAGTAGTAGTAGAACCCATTCACTTTAAAATCCATTTTTGAATCCTGACTATAACTTTCAATGCTCTACATCAGCCTTTCTCAAATGGGGGTACGCGTACCCCTGGGGGTACGTAAAGAAACTCCGGGGGTACGTGAGAAAATGTACATTCATTTAAAAAAATAGTATCCATGGAAAATCTTTTAAAAAATAATTATTTAATAAATATTTTAGGAAAATATAAGTAAAAGTTCAAAAAATGTGTTTTATATTCAGTAGAAGTAGGCTAAATTCATTATCCCGAAATCCCAGAGTTCCCCCCCCCCCCCCCCCCCCCCCCCCAATGCTTTTGCGCTCATTAGGGGGTACTCGGCTGAAAAAATATTTCAAAGGGGGTACATCAGTCAAAAAAGGTTGAGTACCACTGCTCTACATGGTCAAGCTCCTCCCTACATTACTGAACTGTTAAAGTCTTATGCTCCAACCCGAGACCTCAGGTCCACACACCAGAACCTTCTAGAAGTTCCAAAGACCAGATATAAAAGTTGAGGTGATCGCTCCTTCCAGACTGTTGCACCCCGACTTCGGAATAATCTTCCTTCATTCTTACGTAGCATTGACAGTCTGGACACTTAAAAAAAAACAGCTGCAGACCCATTTATTTAAAGCTGCTTTAACCAAAATCTTGTTTTCTTATTTTTAAGTGAAATTTGCAATCATCTTTGTCTGTTTATGAAATTTTATAATTTTATGACTTATTTTTTTTCTGATGTAAATCTATTTCTGTTTTGGGATCATTATGATTTTATGACTTTATATTTTATTTTGTTTTGATCTATGTGAAGCACTTTGTGATTCTTTGCCTGTGATAAGTGCTAAATAAATAACATTTACTTACTACTACTACTGCTACTACTACTACTACTAGTAGTAGTAGTGGTAGTAGTAGAAAATATGAAACGCATACTGGAGCATGATGGCCTTAGATCAATAAAAAAACTAAACTTTTTCAACATTTTTTCTAATCTGAGGACTTTGAAAAGTCCAGTTTGTACATCCTCCTCACACTAGATGTCCCTTTGGTGTTTGTGTTTCATATTCCACCTTTAAATGTTAAATAACATCATTCTATATTTCTATTGTTGTTAATTTTATAAGTGAAACGTGCAAATACGTGCTTTATCTCTTCAGAATTGGCATAGAAGTAAGACAGGTTGGTTGGATATTTACTTGAAAAATGTACCTAAACTTTCATGTTTTAATGAAAAGCAGGTCGTTATCATCCAGGTAACCATACATTTGGTCTAATGTTCATGAATCTCTCCTGTAGACAATAAGGAAGGTTGGGAAAACATTTCAGCTGTTGGAATACTGACGCACAGCGACGGGAGGTTTTGCTCGGGTTATTGTATGTTTTCTGACATTTGCTGGCGTTTCAATTAGTTTAATACTGGTAGTTAGATGCCACTTCTTTGACTTATTTTTTGTATCGTTTTCAAATCTTGATCTCCTGCAATCCTTCTGAAATGATTTATTTTGTAAAGTAGAAAATGTTTGCCACAGTACTTCCATTAGTCCAGTGAAGCTCCTGAACGTCTGAGCCTCTCCATATTCTAAGTTATGGCTCCAAAGACACAACAATGGCTCAGATTCAAACATTAAAATGGCTCTTCACAGCCAACAGATGACATCATTACAGCTCTGTCCAAATTTATGATTACCTAACAGACTTGGAGATCAATAGCCCCACCTTGGCTCTCATTTTGGTGGAATCCTTTACTCACTTTTCTGATAGAGCAGCAGTTCTGTAAACTTTGAACAAACAAGTTGGTTTATCGACTGGAAATTTGAGTGACACTTTATTTTTCTCTTTCATATATTGAATCAATAAATAAATTAAAAATCAGCTTTACTGATCACTAAACAAAATACACATCCTGGGCTAAACGGCACACGCACACTTGGCCCAGATTACTGCATGACTGTTTGGGGGCAGAGTAAATCCCAGGGATTTTTGCATTTGCTCATCAGCAACCCCTTCAGTTTTTCCAAACACACACAGCTCTTGGGATTAAATGCAGAGACGGGGAGGGGTGGGGGGTAGTCCACTGGGAGCCCTTTCAGCTCTTAGAGGATGATGGTCAGTGGCCGTTATGTAAGCTGAGTGGATTTGAAAATGCATCGCTGAGCTCTTCTCCCGATTCCTCTAAGCGGGTTGCCTACGCGGAGGGTGAGACACATGTCCGGACCCTCGATGTACAGTAGCCTATACAGTGTCCTCTCCTGGGCTCTGGAGAGTCCTTCACAGAGTGAAGGACTCTGGTGCCTACCAGTACTTTATGCACATTGTCCAAGTAAAATAGACTGTATATTATCTTTTTATAGCTACTGATGACCACTTTAGGTAAAATCTATCACGCTGGTATTTCAGCAGTATAGACAAGCCAGATTATATGCTTTGTAGCTCCTTGTACTCTTATTAAAATGAAACTTCTCAGTTTAAATCAAACGGCTAAGAGAAAAACCGACAAGTAAAGTCCCTTTGCAGGTTTGCAACATTATTCCACCTGTCACGGTATTTAGAGGGGCAGATGGTTGATAAGGTGAAAGTAGCAGGCAAGGTCTTTTCGCTTCACCTTGAATACTGCAGCTTCAGTCCCATGGAAGCCCAATGTAATTCTTTTGTCTGATTCATGTCTTTGAAAGGCAGCTGATGTAGCTTTAAAAGGAGGCCAGAACACATTACCTAATTACAAACAAAAGGCAACGCCACAACGATCTCAGTAGGGCAATTCTGCAAGGAAAGGTTTGTCCCAACTCACAGACCCTCTGTACATGTAGTCAGGTTTCCCACAAAACAGAGAATTTTTTTACAGTTTGGCCTGTCATCCACATGAAAGTGAAGAAATTTGTCACCAAAAATTATTCTTTCAAAAACCAAATTGTAATTTCGGTAACGCTTTCTTTTACAGTCCCCTAATTACTAAGCACTTACATGGTAATAACAAGGTAATCACACAGTAAGTTAAAGTGTAATATTGTGTAATTAAAGTGTATAATTGTAATAAAGTGTAATTACCGTGTAAAGCAGTATTTACTGGGAATGATTAAAAAAATAAAAGTAGAATTGAATCTGAGTTACTTGGTAAATGGCCCGTATTTGATATAGCACCTTCTAGAGTCCTGGAAACCCTCAAGGCGCTTTAGAACACAACCAGTCATTCACCCATTCACACACACATTCACACACTGGTGGGGATGAGCTACAATTTAGCCACAGCTGCCCTGGGGCGCACTGATGGAGGCGAGGATGTCAAGAACTGGCGCCACCGGTCCCTCCGACCACCACCAGCAGGCAAGGAGGGTTAAGTGTCTTGCCCAAGGACACAACGACAGCGACAGACTGAGCGGGGCTCGAACCTGCAACCTTCCGATTACGGGGCGAGCACTTAACTCCTGTGCCACCGTCGCCCCATTATTACATGGTAATAACTGTTTAAGAACTCAAACAATAATACACTCTAACTTACTATGTAATTGCCATGTAAGTACTTTGTAATTAGGAGACTGTAAAATGAAGCGTTACTGTAATTTCTTCATTGTTCACATTTGCTTGTGGATGTAAATATTCGGGGTTTTAGGTTTCGCAACGTCACTGCCCGGGACAAAATTGCTCTGACATTACATGTTCAACATAGCGAAGGACAATGTTAAGGACAAATGTCTAATGAGCTTTGAAAGAAAAGCGTCTGGACTTCTTTGAGTTGCTTGAAGACCTTTCACCTCTCATCCGAGAAGCTTCTTCAGTTCTAAGGTCACCTAGTTATTCCAGCTTGGTTACATTCATTCTGTTTCTTTGAAATTCTTTATCATCAATGCCTTAGACAGAATAGCAAAAATGCCAACCCTAAACAGAGATGGAGTGTACACGTTAAACCACTCATGGACAAACAAAATAAGGTAGAGCACAAACTTTTTCTATTAGTTATTCCACATCCAGGAAATGTATTTCGACAAAGATGCCAATGATTTGGGGAACTAGTGCCACCTACAGGCTTGGCCTGCCTATGAATGGGCTTTACAATGCACTAGAGTTTTAGCTGAAAATCCTAGATTGGAGGGGGAAGATATTTTATTTTACAAAAACCCTGCTACATGTGTACATGGCCTAAGTGAACTCTAAATAAATCAGAAATGTATTCAACTGAAGACACGGCTAGAGCAAACCTTTCATTGATATCACTTTTTATTTTGCATATAAACATTTCCTGATTACCATGCATACAGTACGATGAGCTGAAAAAGTGGAGAGAAAGAAATCCCTCTTACTAATTTTAAACCCAACATAGAAGGATGGTGCCGTCAAGTATAAAATAGGACTGCAGCAACCCACATTGCTCCAACTCGGTTACAGTGTCACAAATTAGGTTCTTAGGGTTAATTTCATTGTTATTTTTAACAAAATATTATTTTTTTGTTATTTGCTTGAACAAAGTTTTGTAAAAATAAATAAATAAATAAAGGTATCTGTCAAAAAATGCACAGTTGTTTTGCTGGGGTGTTTGTACACATTATTGTGCAAAAGTTTTAAAAGACCAAGTTCACTGGAAAACCTTTATATTCTTAATTTAGAAACGTGATCAGTCACTCTGAGTTTAACATGCTGACTGAAAGTGAAAATATGCTGTTGTTGGTGTAGCATCCAGGAGAGAGCACGGCACATCTTAGCTAGTAGAAGCTAACCGTTAGCATTAGCAACTCCACAACAGAGCAGAACTCCTTCAGGCTTGTGTTATTTGTGGAGATAAAACTTCAACATTGCAAAGTCAAATGAGTCATGGTCTTTAAACAACTACTAACTTCTTCCAACTTTCTTCTGAACAGCTGGACCTGTATAATTATTTGATATGGTCTTGATTACTAGTTCTTTGGGGCTTCTGAAGATCTTTCAAAAATTTCTCTTTTGGATTGGCTGTAAAGGACAAATGGAGAAGTGTCAGGTGTAATAACGCTAACCATCATCCACGTCACCATCAGATGATGTGAAAATTAGAAAAAAAATTAAAGGATATACATATAAGTAGTACAATAATAGTTAAAACTCCTTGAGTTTTCATTGTGCCTGTGATTATTTAGCTTGAATGTTTTTACAGTTCAATCAGTAATGCTTGGGAAGTAACTTCTTGAGTTCAAATTTGAAAGTTCAAAGTTGAAAAGGTTAAAATCTCAGCAGCTGGCTGAGACTTTAGCTAGCCAACATGTCTGTGTTGACACAATACTGGTTCATCCCTGACATTTAGGTGCTTTGATGCCTCATTACCTCACAGATCAGGTGTATGGCTTCATAAATAATGACAAATATGGAACTGGTTTAGAAAACTTCACGACCTTCAGCACAACTGGAGAACTACTGATAAAGACCACTGTATTAAAAGAAATGAGTCAAGTTTTGCACAGGACTGTGTGTGTGTGTGTGTTGCATATAATACAAAATATATACTTACGTAATGCATGATACATTTATATCATCACTGCAAATATGAAAACAAACCCAATGTTTTATATTCACTTTACTACACGTTCTGCTGAGTCAAAGTGCTGATAAAAGACAATGTTTATATTTACCCCTGATTGTTCAGAGGTCAGGTAGCACCGTACAGTATCACAGCTCAGAGCATACAAGCAGTTTTTCATAATTGGATTTGGTATTATATTCTTTTTATGATAACTATTAAAACAATAATTAAATAAACAGCAAATGAGTTCATGATTCTGAGTTCAGACAGAGTCCACCTTGACCTGGTTATTGTTGGTCATGAGCGGTGATGGTTTACTCTTGAGCCTCTCGCCTGCATCATTGGAGCTGTCCTGGAAGAATATACGGGCTGTACACACAGACACTACTATGCGCTTGTACTCCCGCCGGAAGTTCTGGTTCAGCACACCATACACAATGGCATTAAGGCAGCTGTTGAAGTAGGCCATGAAGTAGCTGGCCACAAATAACCACTCTGGGATGAGGGGAACCACGACCTCTGGCTTGATTGCTACAGCCAGGCCGATGAAGTTGAGCGGCGCCCAGCAAACGGCAAAGAGCACAAATACCACAAACATTGTGACAAAGTTCCTGACGTCGTGCGGAGTCAACTTGGGTCGATTGTCCGGTTTGACTCTCCTCCTCACCTGAATGACCAAAATCCAAATCCGCAGGTAGCAGTAAGTAACAATCATAATGGGTAAAATAAAATGAAAAAATACCACAGCAATGGTGTACGCCGAGCTGGCCGACTGCTCGAAGGTGCAGGAATAAACCCGTGGGTCGTATTGAAGCGAACCCACAAACAGGTTGGGTATGATGGCCACTACAGTCAAGGCCCATATTAACATCACATAGCAGACAGAGTTTTTGTCGCTGTACAGTTTGTCATATTTGAGGCTGTGGCAGATGTAGCAGTATCTGTTTATGGCAATCCCGGTGATGTTGAAGATGGAGCCGATGACGCTGACACCCATAAGGAAGCCACTGATCTGGCAATGGGCGTAACCCAGGTTCCAGCCATTGTGAAAAATAGAGGTGAGGACCAAAGGGTATGGGTAGATGGCCACCACGAGGTCCGCCACTGCAAGACTAACCACAAAGATGTTTCCTACAGAAAGGGACAAGAGAGACAGAGAACATGAGTCAAAATGATTGTATGTGAAATCTGAATAGGTGATACCCAACATCTAAGCTGTATTTTAGCAGAAAACTTTACTTCTATTCAAGACTGTGGACCTTTGAGACCTGATCAGGCCTCTGATTGGTGCAACAGTTTCAGCAATGAAGCAGTTAATGCTCCAATCTGGAAGAAGAATGTAGACGTTGTTGCTTTTCAAAGTGATTTTTGTACCTTAAAATGCAAAAAAGGAGGTTGCTAATTGGTCGGGACAGGAATCGTAAATCAAAGCTCATTTAGAAACACGAAATGCCACTGAGCACCACAGCAATCTGTGCTATCAGTCCTTATGAAAGTGAACACTGACTACAATAACTATGTCAAATCTCTCTGTGTCATTTCATTACTTACAAGTGTGTTTCCATTCTGGTTTCTACTCATGGCTAGACTCTCTGAAGAGTGGCCAATCCCAACTAAATGTTATTTAAATGCAGCACCCAAAATAAGATGATCCATGCAAGAGACCAGCTTGATAGAAGTACTTGTAAATGATTGTTAGTAATTAGAAATACGTAATAAATAAATGTGTCTGGTAATATTTTTGGTTGCTATAAAATTAGGTTTGCAGTTTTTTTTCTTTCTTTTGCATAAAATTAGCACCTGTTTTAGGCACTAAAGTTTTTCATTCACACCACAGATAACGTGTCGGACATCATATATATGAAGGTTGACAGATACAGGTCATAATTAAAGCAAATGAGCATGAATCAGCAGAAAGTTACGAAGGAATTTCCATTTTTCTTTCTTGTAGGGTTTGATTGTCAATTCTTCACAAGCACACATTTGAAGGTAAGGTGAAAACTGTTTTGACAACCTCAGATAATTGATAATATAAATAGTTTATTAGTGATGTTTTCATCTATTGGGAGTCAATAGCAATATTGCACTGAAGCTCTAGATAATGGGACCAGGACTCCTTGTTTTGTAGTCCATTACACATCTCTTTAGTTCGCAGGCATTGGTATTCTTTTATATTAAAAGATCAAGTGTGTTAAGCAACACTCCCAATTAGAGCTGCACAATCTACGGTCACTCAATTATTGAAGCAAACCATAACATTGTGAAAAACCAAGTTCAACACATTTGCAGTAGTCTCTAGTATAAATAAAGTGAGTTTATCCCTCTCTGGTACTTCTGTTTCAGGAACTGGAAGTTAAGCAGAACTGCAAGTGAGGAGAGGTGAGCAGGACGTGGCAGGATTTGGAGTATTATTTACTGATATTCTGAAAACTCGCCTCTGATTGGCTAACAGCAATGTCAATCTATCGCTGACTCTGTTTGCTGAGTATCTGCAGATTAAACTCTTCTGTGGGAAGACTGGACAGAGATCGTGTACCTCTTTCAGGTAAAAATCCATTTTTGGGTTGTTTAAAGAGCAGACTAGATGAGAACGAAGTCACTTCTTCACAACTGTGGTGATTAAACTCCCTGCTAAACAAAGAAACTGGGTGTTAGTGGGTGTCCAGTTCAGGGGAGGAGTGATCCAGCCTCGAGAGACTACCTGGATGGGGAAGAGCGGCCATGATGTTGCAGCAACAACCCCTCCAGCTGAATGCAATACTAAAGCAAAAATGTGTGTGTGAACCCAAAAACCACTTTGGGGTGATTTCCACGAGGAAACATCATTAAAACACAGTCAAAAGCTCCAAAAAATAGATTTTGCTTGACATAGAACCTTTAATAAATGTAAATGGTGAGTGGCCTGGATTTGATCTAGTGCTGTCTAGAGTCCTATAACCCCCAAAGACCCTTTACAACACAATTAATCATTCATCCATTCACACACATTCGCCCCCTGGTGGTGATGAACTACAACGTACCCACAGCTGCCCTGGGGTGCACTGACAGAAGCGAGACTGCCAAACACTGGCATCCCTGCTCTCTCCGACAACCACCTGCAAACAAGGCGAGTTTATGTGTTGCCCGATGACACAATGACTGCGACAGGTGGGGCTCGAACCTCCAACACTTCAGTTACGGGGAGGGCACACAACTCCTATGCCACCGTTGCTCACATTAAGGTTGTTTCTTGTTGATTTTATTGCTTTTATGATCATTAGAAGCTTAAAGGGACTTTACGGAGTTTAGCATTTTTATGCTCGCGATTGCCCCCTCAGGCCAAAAGCGTAACGGCAGCTTCAATAGAAGGCATGTGCACGAGGCGTGCATGCTGTACATGCACACTCAACGAAAATAACAGCTGAGACAGTCAGCTCCGTGTGTGTGTGTGTGTATGTGTGTGTGTGTGTGTGTGTGTGTGTGTGTGTGTGTGTGTGTGTGTGTGTGTGTGTGTGTGTGTGCGCGTGTGTGTGTGTGTGTGTGTGTGTGTGTGTGTGGGGCCCGGAGGACAGAGGACAGGAGAACATGCAGATAATTAATTAAATAATTTGGTTCTGTATCTTTCTCTTCAGCACAGCCGACAAAGGTTTATGATGGGTCAGTCCTCCTGCATGCTCAGATCATTCCCTTCCCTTGCTTGAAAAATTGTTCCAAATTCAAAGTTGAACCCACATCTTTTTTATCTGTGAATTCAATGACGTTCAGCGAGTCTCCAATAAAAATTTGGGCATCTTACTGTAAAACAATATACCATTAATGTAAAAAAGAAACTCTAAATAAACTATGTTCACACCCAGAATCAAATCCAGGTCTCCCGCATGAGAGTCCAACATCTTACCAGGTGAGCTAACGCAGCAGTGACGTCACTGGTATCTGTACCATTTAAAAGCGGTTCGGAGGGCTATGCCTGAGCGTGAACGTGCATGAAGCAGCCTGCTCGACCCGAGCAGCTCTCTTTTTCTGTGATTTTACAGAAAAACAGGCAATCACAGTAAAAATGCCAGAGCTCATTCTACAGGACCAGGGCATTGCAGGAGAATGTATGAAGAAGAAATTTATTATTTCTATACATGTTTTGGCTGTCAAGCTTCCATAATGTCCCTTTAAAGCAAATATAAATTTGACCAAATGCAATCAATTGTGATATGTAGTTTAGATTAGAATATCAAGTGATAGCTGTAAGTCTGTTTTTATCAATACTAATATTACTTACTGCTATTGATCAATCACTGATGAGTGTCAGATGAATCAAAATAGAAAGTGGGTTGTGCTTTAAGATCCAATGAGTTGTCTCAGCATAAACGCCCATTTAACGTAAATCACTGAGAAATGTCCCTAATACCACATTTCAATCAGCACATTTTATGTTTGCTTCAGCAAAGACACTCAAATGAAAGCATGCAAAGGGCACACTATTTGCCAAACATGAATTTTAACCGTCACATCTTGAAGTTAGTGAATATTAAATAAAAAGAAGTTTCCTGTTGCTAAATAATGCATATTTCTGAGAGTCAGCAAGCGCAGCATAGTGAGCATGTTTGGCAAACACAATCCAGCTCCTGAAGGACACACACGTTTGCACCTGGTTTGTGGAAGAGTTTATTTTATTTTATTTTTTTGCAAGATGCAAAACATTAACACCCTCTCTTTAAAAATGAAATTCTGTGCTGTTGCTCTTATATCAGTGGAATGTCTACAGCAGTCAGTGAAGCGTCGTAACGACAGGCCTTGGTACAGTTTAGCATATTTGAAAACCTGCTGCCAAACGTGATAAGATGCTTTTACTGCTAATGTCAGATGGGAAGTTAGCATATCCTATATCTATGCAATCACTGCAGTGAAAGAGGCTATTTCATTTTTGTACTGAATATTGCACAGACATTGTCAGACCCCCACCCCTCACCTTCCCTGTGCTGTACACAGACCTGTCAATATCACCTGCATTGGCATCACAAATACACATCAGCAAAGGGGAACGTTACCTCCGACCACATATGCCAAGTATACCACTGCCAGGGATCAAATATACTTATTAATTAAGTTTAGTCTTTTTATATCTGTCATTCAGCTGCCCTCTGCAGGGAATTAGGTGCACCTGCTGCTGTCATAAGATTCATTCTTAGAATCACTTTGAAAAAACAGGTTAGTTCTAATTGGACCAATGAGCTAGTCACAGTGAAGGCTGAACCAAACTGGATCACTAGTAACCCCTGGTAACTGGTGACTGACCCCCCCCCCCCCCCCCCCCCCCCCCATGCCTTGCAGCATGTAGCTGACTTTTTTTTAACAGAGGCAAAAAAAACAACAACAAACGTCGCTCACGTATTTACGGTCATCATATCAGATAGTCATACTCTGTAGAAAGTTTTACTCTGTCACTCAAATGCGTGGCAGCTGCGAGGGCCAACTGTGGCGGTTTACTCCCCCCCCCCCCCCCCCCCCCGTGATGCTTCGGTCCATAAACCACAACGAGACAGGAGTGAGGCGTCTCAGGCCCGAATTGAAAGTGTTTCGTACTTTTTCGAGCGTTGCTCTGGTTTATGTTTACTTCATGAAGATCTGTTTCTGCCAACTCCTCAGGTAAATCTTTTACTATTTAGCAGCTGAACAATTCTCCACTATACTCATTACCTTGCAGCTAAGCTAAAAGTTCAGATGTGGTTATTGGTTAAACTTTGTGTCAAACTACATAGGAGGGGGGATGAATGTGAGCCTTGTGTCTGCTGACGATGACAAGGGGAAACTTGTGTGTTCAGCTCAACAGATAAATAATGCTATCTATCGGAGCTATGGGATGATCTGCAAGCTTCTGGTGCTTCTACCTTCATTTTCAAACCTGATGTTTTCACCTATAACAAGGGTTATGAGATCTCAGTAATACCAATGTTGACCTTGACAAGGTGAATATGGACAGCTGGCTCTTTAGACTGTGGCTCTCTCTTTCTCTGTCACCGTGGTTACGTCTGTGATTGACGCATCATTCAGAGTTTTCATTTGGCTTGGGGATAGATATGGCCCGGTGCTGCCCTTTTCCATTTCTGCAATCCCACACCTTCAACCAATTCCTGTTAGGATTTAGATACAAGTGAAGC